ATAGAAAATTACTTCACATTTATGCATTAGGGTACTTTTGCACAAAGCAAAGATTCAGCTGCCCATGTGTAACTGTAGACATTTAAACTATGTATAATGTGCAGCTATGTGTAATTTTTCATACTTTTTACTTTTCTCGCAATCAAACAATGAAAAAAGGACGTGGAAGGAAATACAAACGAATCGCGTTCGGATCTGCAGTGGCCCTAACCAATATTGTTTTACTCAAATTTATTCATCACAACGAAAGCTTGCGCAATAATAAAACAGAAAATATACTAGAGTATCGTCAATGTTAAGTGCTTTAAAAATCTCAAAGAAGTCCGTAGAAATACAACGTAATTTTAGAGTTTACTTTTCATCAATTAACTTTACGAAAAAAAATTTCTTTTGTTTGGTTGCGTTCAAAGACCGTCCTGCAATGCGGCAAGTAAGCAGAAACGTAATGGGTAATACCTGAAATTGGATTGATGAATTTTCAATGGTTTTCCAAAGATTAGAATACGAGAATTTGCTTTTGAATAGCTAACAGTGGCAGAAGTCAAAAACTTGCAGAATTTCAATGTTTTTCCACAGCGTTTTATTATCTGGATTCTCTAATTCTTGTCTACTAGCGCCAAATTGGGTTGCATCAAATCTGATAAACGGAAATCAGTTCCCGCATCAAGTACATCTCAACACTTACCGTAATCTCACTGTCTTCAATAATTAATGCTTTTGAAGTAGTCTGCCAGAGCTCCAGTGGTCTTGCTGCAGGCTTCTGGCTGAACGCCACCTTCGTAAATTGAGATTATTACTGCTGAAATAAAGTTATATAGTATCTGCAATATAATGTATATTTCAATTTAACTCGCCTTGTCCCGTTTTATAAATGAAGAATCCTTGTGAGCCTTTCTTTCCAATAACTCGATCATCGTCAGCATTTAAGACAAAGTATCTACAAGTATATTTTGAGCATAGGAGGTTTTAGAAGGGAGTAAGGCTTAATAGTCTCAAGCCAACTGGGATTACTACCAATATTTTCATAATAGACCTCCCGCTATCTAACTATCCATAATTTCTTACCTACGGATATCCAAAGCTTTCTATTTCCAATTGCTCTCTTCAAATCTGGTCTGTTCTACGTTTTTAAAAGCTATGATTTAGAGATTTGAATAGAAATGGAAACTAACTTTTCTCCCTCAAACTTCAATCCCGTGCCCAACAAACCATCCTTATTGGCAAAACCTCGTCCAGCAGCTGCTGCTTCCTCTTGCGTGATCTGCAAAACATTGTTAAAGAATTATATTTTACCGACAAGAAACGTCTATCTATCTATTTCATTACTGGTGTCCTTATCAATCGTCATTACAGAATTATAACTGATAAAGAAGGAGCGTGGCGGACTGAAACAAGTCTAGAGAGAGCGGGAGGAAGTCATATTTGCCACTGGTTTCTAGCTATCATCGGGATGCGGAAGAGGGACAAGAGAGAAAAATTGGCTGTGTTTGGGACTGATCTAGGATTTTGTTAATTAGCATTATTTTCTTCAAGTTGTTCATAAGAGATATTTTGCATGCTGAGGAATGCCAAAAATTCATTCATAAGAAGTAAATGATTCGAAATTAGGAACTAGTGCGCAGTGAAGCTGATTGTTTTGACGAGCGAACACTGCAACAAAGTGCTCAAATCAATTTGAGTCATTCTTTATAATCAATGGCATTTTGTTTCAGCGTATCTTCAATCTTAAACCCTGAATAAATATGCCATCAGATCCTTGAAAAGAAACATAGGTACAATGGCTTCATGTTATTGCTACAAAATTATGGCATAAATTACGATGGGCATGATTCAGTAGCCTGAAATCAATTATTGGGGTTATTTGGTATTAGGACAGGTATCACATATATTTCAACAATTTGCTGTGAAGTCAATAACTGAAAAATCGGAGCATAGACTTTTCAAGACACAAATTTGTCTCAGTATCAGTAATAGTCTCACCAATTCCATCACCCACACCAAATTAATTACTCTCTCCCAATTTGCACCATCGATAACCTTGAAATATACGTAGAATTTGTTATGTAGAGAAATTGTCGAAAAGTTCATTCATGTTCTCAGATATATAGAGATTTTTGGCAAATTTTACATTCTAATATAAACCTATTCTTGTATTTGTGTAGTAAGTCCTTACGAGACAAGACAGATGCCAGTAATCTCAGTGATTCGGATCTAAAGGGCGCGATACAGTGCCAACTCAGTGTAAAGAAGTTTTCTCTAAAATGACAGGAACACTAAACTCTATGGGCAAATCATGTTTATCAACCTTTCAATAGTAAATATAGAGTGCAGTATCGGTGTCATTTCAG